CCACACTGTATTGACTCTGACTCCGGCATCTTCAGTGCTTGCTATCTCCATTGTTCCTGATCAACCGCTTCCCCTTTGCACAACTATACATTTTCTTCTTATTGACTTTGATGTCCCTTGCAAGTTTCATTTCATAATCCCTTTTGGTAACACATGTAAGCTGCTTTATGGCCCATTGCTGGTCTTTGTATCTTTCCCATTCAGCAGGGTCTGTGCTGTTTTTTGCATTTTTGTAAGCTCTTCCTTTTAATTTTACTTTTTCAATTTTATGCTGCCCTTTACTTCATAAGAGTTCAAACCAAAATCGAAAAAGCTGTGATAACTGTTTTGCTATTTAAATGCAGAAAGGCCTGAGATTTGATGCTGCAGATTATGATGAAGAGTAAGAAATACTGTAAAAGGAGGGGAGATTGAGAGGCTTGGAGGAGTGAGCTCCTGTCAGAGAACATATGATATATAGCAAGTGACTGATGCTAGGAGGAAGAACTTTAAGAAGAAGACATACGAGAGGGTTGGGGCAGAAACAAACATTTGTACAAGAAGCATGAGGATGAAAAATGGGAGAATCACAGATCATTTAACCCAATCAAATTGGGTTACAGGTGAGGGCTCAGCATAAAATGATGCTGTCCTTACGTGAAGAGTGAGGTAAATCTCATTTCCTGCTTTTGGTGTATCAGAGGTTTGGCACAAAGTGAAATTCCACAATGATAAGGAGACTTCCCCTTGTTATAAAGAAATTCCACAATAAGTTGTAGATGGTGGCAGTTTCAAAGGCCTAGTTATGCTGCTGAAACAGTCTGATTGCTGTGAGGCGGAGACCTGCATGTGATTAGCTTGTTAACTCTTGTCTGTCTGCAGGTGTATTCTGGGGGAACTCTTCACTAAAAAACCAATCTTTCAGGCCAATCAGGAGCTGGCACAACTTGAGCTAATCAGGTAGGAGGTGAATTTAAAAAGTTCTAATGGTGGTTAATAATCTTCCTACAGTTAACCATTGCTAACTCCATGCATTGCATAGGGTTGTTCCGATTTAATCAATAATTTTGACAATATCCCAACTGTTGCTTGAAGCGGCAACTGAAAATTTGAGTGGTCGTCCACCCAGCAATCTATCTTTTTCTTTAAAAGAGACAGCTCTTAGTGAATTAACACAGCCATAAGGTGGACGTCTGCCCTATCTGTGCCGTAATCTTGATAGGGCTATGATATGTGTGGTTACACAATGAGTGACACTTGCCCTACTGACACTGGCAGTGCGCAGCTATATAACATTAGACCATAAGAAATGGAGTAGACCATTTGACCTATCAAACCTGCTCTGTCATTTAATACAATCATGGCTAAACATCTTCAGCTCCACTTCCCCGAATGCTCTCCATGTCTCCTGATTCCCTGAGGAACCACACATCTGCCTAAATATGCAATGATAGACCATCCATAAGCCTTTGAAGGAGAGAATTCCAAAGATTCAAATCCCTTTCAGTGAAATAATTTCTCATCACATCCTAAATGATCAGCTCCTTATTCCAAATAACCTCTCAGTGTCGGAAGCTGTTAAGGGCTGTTAGAAGCCCCTTCAGAATCTTGTATGCTTCAATGAAATCACCTCGTTCTTCTAAACCCCAGAGAACATCGATCTGATTTATTCAGCTCTCATCATAGGAGCCAATCTTGTCAATTTTTGCTGAATTTCGCAACTTTATAATTCCTAACTTGCTTTATATCATCAGCAAACATAGATAAATTACTCTCCATCTTTTCGTCTAAGTAACCAACATAATTCCAAATGATGATAGCCCAGAACTGAGCCTTGTGACATACAGTGGTCACAACCTGCTAATTTGTATATGCCACAATTTGTTTCCTGTCCATTATCACTCCCATATCCAAGCTAATATATTACCAATAACTCCCTGAGCTGTTATCTTGTGTATTTGTGTGGTATCTTATTGAATCTCTTTTAGAAATACAATTGTATTGCATCTACTGGATCTCTTTTATCTGCCTTATTAGTTACTTCTCAAAAACATCTATTAAGTTTATCAAACCTGATAGCCTTTTCATAAAACAATGTTGACTTTGTCAGAAATTACTGTAATTTATTTTAAGTGCATTGTCAGGACTTCCTTAAGAGGCTCCAGCAATTTCCTGGTGACTGACATCAATCAGGCTTATTAAACTCACTATTTGTGGATGTAAGTTGTATCTTTTACTCTGAAGATAGACACAACATACTCATTCAGTATCTCTGTCATTTACTCATTCTCCATGCTAATTTCTCCTGTCTCTGCTTCTGAAGGACCAGTATTTATTTTAGCTGCTCTCCTATTTATATACTTGCAAATTGTGTAACAACACATCCTGTGACTAATGTAGTTTCTTGTTGTAATTATTCTTTGGGGAGCTCATGCACATGACAGTTGTACTCTGACAGTTGGACAATTTCAGTTGATTTCCTCAATCACGTCCAGTTGGGCATGTTTTGCTCAATAGACATTGGTCATGTCTGGTATTGTTAAAAAAATGAATGATTTGTGAAAGGTTTCACTGTGGTTTTTTTATGATTGAAGATGATAACTCTGCAATGTGCTTTTGTTTCCTCAGTCGATTATGTGGCAGCCCTTGTCCTGCTGCTTGGCCTGATGTCATTAAGCTGCCATATTTTCACACGATGAAACCGAAGAAGCAGTATCGGAGACGGCTTCGTGAAGAGTTTTCCTTGTAAGCTTCAACAACAGTCAATGTGACAGCAGGAGGTCACTGCAGTAGATGCCACCCTGTTCTTTGGAGTGCATAAAAGGACAGTATAGAGGGAGCTTTACTCTAACGTCGTGTTATCCTGTCCTGGGTGTGTTTGATGGGGATAGAGTAAAGGGAACATGACACTATCTCTAGATGTAGAAAGAACTGCCCATGCTGGAGTCAGAGATAACACATTGTGGAGCTGGAGGAACACAGCAGGCCAGGCAGCATCCGAGGAGCAGGAAAGCTGACGTTTCGGTTCTGGACGTTTCTGAAGAAGGGTCCAGACCCGAAACGTCAGCTTTCCTGCTCCTCTGATGCTGCTTGACCTGCTGCGTTCATCCAGCTCTACACGTTGTTATCTCAGATTCTCCAGCATTGGCAGTTCCCACTATCTCTACAAAAACTCTTCCATTCTCTGCACTTTACACTACTGTACTATTATTCCAACATAATTTAGGATTATTAAAGTCTCCATTATAACTCCTCTAATTTCTCTGCAAGGTTGTTAACCATGTAGTGGAAGCTTTATTTGGTATCTAACATTGTGCTGCAGCTGTCCTGGGAGTGTTTGATAGGAATAGTGTAGAAGGAGCTTTAGGCTGTATCCAACCCTTTGCTGGACCTGTCCTAGGAGTAAATACACAATTGGCAGCTGGGCTACATCAAATTGTTGAGATGCCAGTCTGATCAGGCAGATGTATGAGCGACAAGGATGGCTTTAGCAATAACGAGAAGAAGTCACTGAAATGCATGCAGAATAAATCAAGCTTAAACATGTTTGGTGTACAGTGTGCTAGATGTGGATTTTTAAATTATCTGGTTTCCATAACTCGAGTGGACAGTGATGCTTGCAGTTTGTGGTTAGAACATTGGCTAGATTTGTTTATGTGGCAGCAGATACTTTAATTCTAGGTGTTACCTATGGCTGGTATCACTTAGGCAGCTGATGATTTTTTTTATTCATTCATGGGATGTGGGTGTTGCAGGCTAGGCCAGTATTGATTACACTTTAGTAATCATCTTCAGAAAGGTGGCGATGAACACAGTGTGTTTCTTTTTTATGTTTTGCTGTGCCTTCCTTGTATCTTTCAGTTTAAGCCACGTGCTCATGAGACTTTGATATGGACCCAGTACCCCTGGGTTAGTAGAGTTGAACCCAGTTGCTCTTTCTGATGTAAGAATGTGGATATTTACTATTTCTACAGTATTCCTGTCCCTGCTCTGGATTTGCTCGATCATATGTTGACCCTTGACCCCAGCAAACGTTGCACTGCTGAGCAGACCCTGCAGAGTGATTTCTTGAAAAATGTGGACCCCACGAAAATGCCTCCTCCTGAGTAAGTATCAGTGCCAACAGCTAATCTGTATTTGAGAGACTTAGGAAATGGTGGTATTTTATGTCATTTTCTCTTAAAGTTTTAACATTGTGTTTATGTTCTCATATTTTTTCTTCTGCCTAAAATGTTTAATTTGTAATTTCTATATACATGAGACCACATCCAATATTCAAAGATAGTACTTTGCAAATTATTTCCAATGTAATTACATTTAAATGTTTGAATATTAGCATAACCCCAGGTGTCAGTAGAAACAAACAATAAAGCAGCATAATGATTTCCAGCATACAGTTATTAAAGTTTGCATAGTATATATCAGCATATAATACATTGTACGATATAAAATTCTGTGATGAAAATTCCAGTCCTTGGTGACTGGGCTGCCACAGTTGCTGAATGTGCTCCATAGCCGTCACTGTTGGACTGGAAGCTGCTCCTGGAAATCTTAGATGTGTTTATGGAGATGCAAGGTTAGGTCACAGCATGCTTGATCAGATCTGCCGCAGGGAATCCACTTGATTTCCAGAAGGCATTTTGACAAGGTTCCACATAAAGGCTGTTGTGTAACGTTGAAGTATGCAAGGGCAGCATTGTAACATGGGCAGAATAAAGTCATGGAGATCTACAGAAAAGAAAACGGCCTGTCGGCCCATCATGTCCGCACCTGATTGAAAACAACCACCTAACCATTTTCTAGCACTTGGCCCATAGACTTGTATGCCTTGGAATTGCAAGTGCACATCTAAATACTTCTAAATGTTAGAACATAGAATAAAGAACAGTACAGCACAGTACAGGCCCTTCGGCCCATGCTGTTGTGCCGAACTTTTACCCTAAACCTAGGGTCTGTCTAGCCTCCACCCCTACCTTATACTATCATCCATAGCTCTATCTAATAGCCGCTTAAATGCCCCTAATGAGGCCGACTCCACTACCCTCCCCGGCAATGCATTCCACGCCCCTACCACGCTCTGAGTAAAGAACCTACCTCTGACGTCTCCCCTATATCTACCTCCACTCACTTTAAAACTATGCCCCTTCGTAATAGCTACCTCCACCATAGGAAAAAGTCCCTGGCTGTCCACTCTATCTATACCTCTGATCGTTTTGTACACCTCTATCAAGTCACCCCTCGTCCTTCATCGTTCTAAAGAGAAAAGCCCTAGCTCTCTCAACCTTTCCTCGTAAGACCTTCCCTCCATTCCAGGCAACATCCTGGTAAATCTCCTGTGCACCTTTTCCAATGCTTCCACATCTTTCCTGTAATGAGGTGACCAGAACTGGACACAATACTCCAGATGTGGCCGAACCAGGGTTTTGTTTAGCTGGAGCATAACTTCACGGCTCTTGAACTGAATCCCTCTATTAGTGAAAGCTAACACACCATACGCCTTCTTAACAACTCTATCCACCTGGGTGGCAGCTTTCAGGGAACTGCTCCTCCACACTGCCAATAATCTTGCCGTTAACCCTGTATTCTGCTTTCAAATCTGTTGTTCCAAAATGAATCACCTCACGCTTTTCAGGGTTAAACTCCATCTGCCACTTCTCAGCCCAGCTCTGCATCCTATCAATGTCCCTTTGTAACCTAAAACAGCCCTCCGAACTACCCACAACTCGACCCACCTTCGTATCGTCTGCAAACTTACTAATCCAGCCTTCCACTCCTTCATCCAAATCATTTACAAAAATCACAAATAGAAGAGGACCCAGAACAGATCCTTGTGGTACGCCACTCATAACTGAGCACCATGTTGAATATTTTCCGTCCACTACTACCCTTTTTCTTCTAAGGGTCAGCCAATTCTGAATCCAATCTGCCACATTTCCCCCTATCCCATGCCTCCTTACTTTCTGCATGAGCCTACCATGGGGAACCTTATCAAACGCCTTATTTAAATATGAGTTATGAGGGTTTTTGCCTCTCACACTCAGACAGGCAGTAAGTTCCAGATTCCAACCTCCCTCTGGGTAAAAATATTATTCCTCACACCTCCTGTAAACATTCTGCCCCTTATTTTAAATCTATACCCCTTGGCCATTGATCCCTCCATCAAGGGGAAATGTTTCTTCCTGTCTATCTTGTCTTTGCCCCTTATAATTTTACACATCTCAATCATAACCCCTTTCAATATCCTTTGATCTCAGGAAAGCATCCCTAATCTATCCAATTATTCTTCATAACTGAAACACTCCAGCCTAGGCATCATCCAGGTAAATCTCCTCTGCAACCTCTCCAGTGCTATCACATCCCTCCAAAATGCGAATTCTGGAACTGCTCGCAATACTCTAGCTGTAGTTTAACCAATATTTGAGACAGTTCCAGCAAAACCTCCCTGATTTTAAACTTGCCTTGGCTAATAAAGGCAAGTATACCATATGCCTTTTTGACCACGTTACCCACCTGTCCTGATACCTCAAGGGATTGGTGTACGTACACACCAAGGTCCTCCTGATCCTCGGTACTTCCCAGGGTCCTCCCTTTCATTGTCCATTCCCTTGACTTGTTTGTCTTACCTAAGTGCATCACCTCACTTTTATCCGAATTGAATTCCATTTGATCAGCCTGTCTGTATCCTCCTGTAATCTAAGGCGATCCTGCTCACTATTTACCATCCCACCAATTTTTGTATTATCTGCGAACTCATTAATCAACCCTCCTACGTTCAAGTCTGAATCATTTATATAAATCAGAAATGGCAAGGGGCCCAACACTGACTGCTTAGAATCCTACTGGACCCACTTACAGTTGGAAAAACACCTGTCAGCCATCACCCTCTGCTTCATGCCACTTATCCAATTTTCCAGATTTTCTTGGATCCTATGGGCTCTTACCTTATTTATCAGTCTGTCAGAACTGATCAGAAGCCTTGCTGAAGTCCACATAGACCATGTCAAAAGCTTTACCCTGTCCTACACACCTGGGCCTCTCTTTGAAAAATTCGATTAAGTTGGTCAGACAAGACGTCCCTTAACAAAAGCAAACCAACTGTACTTGATTAACCCTACCTGTCCAAGTATGGATTAATTCTGTTGCTCAGAATAGCTTCTAACAGTTTCTCTAGGTTAGGCTGATGGTCCTAAAGTTTCTTGATTTTTCCCTTGCTCCCATTTTGAACAACGGTACCACATTGGCTGTTCTCCAGTCCTCTGGTACTTCTCCTGTGGCCACAGAGGAATTGGAAATTATTGCCAGAACCCTATTTCTTCCCTTGCCTAAGTCAGTAACCTGAGAAACATTTCATCTAGCCCTGGAGATTTATCTGCTTTTAGGAGCCACACCGCTCAGAACCTCCTCTTTGTCTGTGCTAATTTCTTTGTTTCAAGGTCTTCTCCCTGATTTCAGTTCCCATATCATTTGACCCTGTCACTAGTGAACAGCAGCTCAAAGTATTCACTTAGAACCCTATGTACATCTTCTGGTTGCATGCATAAATTATCACTGTGGTTGTTAATGGGTCCTCTTGTTTCCCTAGTTATCCTTTTACCCTTAATGTACCTGTAAAACAACTTAGGATTTTACTTTAGTTTGCTTGGCAGTATCCTTTCATGTCCCCTTTTAGTTCTCCTAATCTCCTTTTAAACTCCCTCTTGCTTCAACTGTTTTGAGCCCTTAGTATCTGACGTAAGCCAACCTTTTTCTCTTAATCCAATGCTGTATATCCCTTGATATCCAGAGTTCACAGGATTTGATGGTCCTACCCCTTTCCTTTATTGGAACATGTTGACCCTGTACTCTCTATATTTGCTTCAGAGATACAGGTGCAGTACATTTTCCAGAGTGCTTACTCCTTCAACAATTCCAATAAACTGGTTTAATGCGATATCTGTTTCATAAAACCATGATGACTTTTCTCGATTATCTTGAATGTGCATCTATAAGCTCTTTGAGGATCAACTCTAACACCTTGCCCACAACAGACATTAAGCTAACTGGCCTATAGTTTCCACTTTTCTGCCTCTCTCTATTTTTGAATACAGGTTATATTTGCTACTTCACATAAAAATGGAAAGTACTGTTTCAGATTTTGAACAGCTGCAGAATTTCACTCTAGTTGTTTATCACGTGTACTTTATATAATTTTCCTTCTCAGCCTTCCTCACTGGCAGGATTGCCATGAGCTCTGGAGTAAAAAGCGTCGGCGACAGAAACAAGCAGGAATTGTTGAAGATCCGCCTTTGCAGAAGACTGCGCGTAAGGAAACCGTGATCAGCACTGATGAAAGTAGGAACAGCACTCCACAGACTGTTCCATTGGGACAGAGTAAACCACAGAGCAGCATCACAGATGTGGGCGGTGAGTCTGTCTGAGTGAAAATGACCATGGTCAGATTACTCAGAATATATGGGAGATTTAGGTATCTATTTCTGGGAATATGTGATTATGTTTGAAAGGTTTTGTGTTCAATCAGATTGATAGCAAAGTCCAGCTGTCGTACCAACTATTCTGTTGTTGGATCTCTCTCTATGATCGGTACAAATGTTCTTACAGAACAGTTTGCAAAATTTCTCTGATACTGCTACACATGCAATACTAACTAATGCTCCATTGATTGCATTATAGTTTCAGGACAGGTTGAAATTGACAATGACAAAGCTTTTGTAGTGCTTTTAGAACCGACTGCTCCTCCTGGAATGTTTTCTAGTTAGCTTATGTTACACTTGTTATCCCTACAGGTTCCTTTCACCTTTAGTAATGTTATATGGTGTTACTATAACTAATGTTCATAGAATCATAGAATCCATACAGTGTGGAAGCAGGCCCTTGGGCCCAACATCCCTCCCAGACCCATCCCCCTATAACCCACCTAATCTACAGACCCCTGAACACAATGGGCAATTTAGCATGACCAATCCACCTAACGTACACATCTTTGGACTGTGGGAGGAAACCAGAGTACCCAGAGGAAACCCACGCAGACACGGGGAGAATGTGCAAACTCCACACAGACAGTCGCCCGAGGGTGGAATTGAACCCGGATCCCTGACGCTGTGAGGCAGCAGTGCTAACCACTGAGCCACCGTGCCGCCCTATACTATGTTATAGTAATGTCCTGTGGTGTTCCACACAGTGGAATGTAACCATACATCATATTAAGGTGAAGCAAAGCCAGAGGGTGAGGGGGTAATAGAAACAAAACACCAGATGAAAATCAGTTCTTATTTTGAAGTCAGACCTTCTTCATTTTTAACTGAATGCTATTATCTGAATGCCGATGGATTGAGAAAGAGGGAGGAGCAACAAGACCTTTTCTGAAGAAAGACTGGACTTGAATGTTAACTTTATTTTCTCTCCACAGATGCTGCCTGACCTGCTGAGTTTCTCTTGCGATTTCAGTTTTTGTTTATAACGAGATCTAGGCGTCCTTGTACACCAGTCACTGAAAGTAAGCAGAGATAACAAGGTGTAGAGCTGGCTGAACACAGCAGGCCAAGCAGCATCAGAGGAGCAGGAAAGCTGACGTTTCGAGCCTAGACCCTTCTTCAGAAAATTTTCT